TGCGTGTCTGGATGTTTGTCTTAATATGGAACGATCGCAACATCGCCATTTGCTTCTCAAACTTCACACATATGGTGTGGAGATGTTTGTGTTTGTGTCTGTGCGAATTTTCCAACTTATGTTTATATTTGAGAGGGGCCTTGTCTTTGCCATGTGATTTGTTTTGCTCCTCAGATTGGAGAGATGTTAGAGGGGAGACCACATAAAGACACAGTGTGAACGAAGATCCCTGCAGCGGCCTTCAAAGTAGCCGGGTTCTGTCCAGCTTAGAGCCACAGACCTTAATGTGTCTGGTTTGCGATTTTATGCTAAGAAACTAACTCATAGAGGTGATATGAATTTGAATATTGGTTTCCAATTGATTGTTTTACACATTCATATCTTTGCTCACATCCATTTCTGTGATGTTTATTAGCAAACAAACATCATTAACCCCGACAGACAGGGAAGGTCAGGGTTATTACATCTGTTGAGGCTCTCTTCAATCGGTTCTGTGTAGGAATGGCGTTGAGCATTGCTCTCAGAGAAATGTTAGAACTTACCTCCATACTAGTAGTTGCTTCTAGCGTGCTAACTGCCGGCATTTCTTCTTCTAGTGTTCCAAATGTTTAGTTTAATGCCCTCCACTTTTCTATCATCCTCTCCTTCTGATCTCAGCAGAGAAGTTCTGCTGCCCTTCCATGCAGCGCAGCTTAATGGGCCTAGTTAGGGGAGAACTGAAGGACTTCACCCAGAGATTAGGTTTACTAAAAGAACCACAGAAAGTTCATTCTGGATCCTTGGATCCATTAAACAGGGTAAGGCAGGGCCCCACCGAAGGCTACGACCAAGCTCCGCAGCTGTGGTTCTAGCTGTAAAGATGGCATTCAAGAATCAAAATGTTCACACGGATCACACTGTTCTCTAATCTGGCAGCAGCCAGATTGATGCGTCTAGAACTAAGTGGAGTTTGACCAAAATCCTGGACGATTTTGAAATTCCTTCCGGACATTTTTTATAGGTATGAAAAGTAGGACATGTCCAGGAAAAAAAAGGAAGTCTGGTCACCATACCGTATCAACAATTTAATGTTTCAGTAAGTGAGTGCTTGATGCTATGATGCGTCTTTGCTCAGCAATTGTGAACCAACCAATCAGCGCACAGCTCATCTAAATATTCATGAGCATAGCATAAAAGGAAGAAAACCTGTCGTTTCATTCTACGGCTTATAACCAGGCTTGCATTAGGGCTCATAGAACAGAAAATATGCCATTTTCAGCCCAACCAATGTTACACACCCTATTCAGAGACCTTAATGAACAGCACCAAATACCCTATATAATCATTCTATGACTCCTTTAAACAAGAAATTGTCGCTATTTATGCTAAAGCCAAGTCCACACGTGAGTCCTCCAGTGTATCTGTTTTTTCGTAATGCCCCGGCAAGGCCATTCTGTCTGTCTTCATTCCTACAAGTCCTGCCCCAAAAAACACTGCTGGCATGTCATTGGTCTGACCCGCTGGTTGTTATGAGATGGACATATTAGCGTGAGTCTTTCTAGATGGATTTGTTTTGACCGAAAACTTAGATTTCACAAAAACCCAGCTTGCAGTGCAAAGTTAACTCTTCCCGGGGTTATTCAGTCAAAGCTTTGCCTTCTTGTTTTCGCCAGTCCGATCAGCATAGGTTGACTTTATTCTGAAATTCGGCAGTCTTTGTTCCATCAACTTTTCCTTTTTGCTCTGTGAGATTCAGTCAGCGGCGTCTGACCGCACTAACCTGACTCCGCCAGATGGATTTGCTCCGCATATCCACCTGGAAACCTTCCGTTGAAGTAATTTTGGGAAGGGGCGAAAATACTGGTTAGCTGATTGGCCTATGTTGGTGATAGACGGGCCAAATAAACCAATCAGATCAACAAAGCATATGACGTACTAACAGCCAGGCTACTCTTGCCGAAACCAGTCGGGAGAAGAGCAAAGACATCTTTTCCTCTGAGAAAAGCCTCCAGAGCAGTGTTTTGCTCTTCTTTCAGTGAAGAAATACTCTGTAATTCCGATAAAACTTGCTCGATAGCCACGCTAACGCCAGTTTCATCGGCTGAAGCCGCCATGTTCTTTAGACTGAACTGTCACGCTTCTTGTTGCGTCACACCTCAACCCGCCTCAAAGCCAACGCTGATTGGACGATCGTTTGGTGAACGGCTCCAAATTTTCTGTAACGGAGAGTCTCCAGACTGATCTGCGAGTGAAACCTTGAAAGCTTGCAAGATCAGGATGGTCTCACGAGGCTATGACCGCACATGCTTCTTCCGAAATTACTTTGTTGATTCTCACCACCTCAGTGACTGTACCCACACTGCATTGAGGCAGATGTGAGTGTTCACATTGATTTGGATGGTTTGGGTTCCTCGCAGCACCTCCACCACAGCAGCACCATTCGTTGTGAGCCCGGTTTTAATACTACGTACTACGTACTCTGCTTTCGCTATAGAATGTCTCCGCTCTGACATTACCGGTTTTTAAATCCTAGAGAATCTTCAAATGAACAGCAGTGCCCTCTAGTGTACGGAAATTCCTGCTAAGCAAAATGTTCAGTTAAACTGCTGGAACAACTGACTTTGTCTAATAAAACATTAATTATTTGAAAGAATGTTATTTGTTTGCATCCCTAACTATGATAAAGAAAACAAATTATCGCAACTTTTGAAAAAAATTTTTTGTTTACCAGTTTTGCTTTACTTTCTGTTGCTCTTGAGTATTTAAATAGTCAGACTGAAACCTGAAGAGAAATGAGGATTGTTTTAGGTCTGCTTAGTTGTTCTCCTTCCTTTGCCCACGTGCTGCGTGTTCCAGTTGTTATCCTGGACCCTTACACTGATTTCTAAGCTCTTAACCTTTAGGAAGTTTATAGCTGTTCCTTCTGAGGCTTGTAAAAAAAACTAGAGCAGCTCGACTCTCTTAAAGGCAGAATCTCATAAAATGTGATTATAAAAAAGAAAATAAATCCTTACTTCCCTATTTTTTGGTCTTTTAGCTTCATCACGCAGCACTGAAATGTGGCTTAAGGTTCCTTCCTTCCAACATGGTTTTCATGTTCTAGACCAACACAAAGTAGTTCAACAGCTGCGGTAAAAGGAGAACAATGTATGAATATCAGATTTAGTTCCTCTGAATCTAATCTTTGATGAGAAGCAGGTCTTCATCAATTTTTCTTATTAAATGTCTCAACCTGGAACGCTTATCTCTATCATTCACTTTCAGTGCTTTCCAAACATCTCCTTTAAAGGCATATTTATAGGAGGTATAAATGCTATTGTACATAACTGTAAAAACCCTTTTTATAATATCCACCTGTATATTATATTCGGTACATGTCCAGCTGTAAATTTAGTTCATAACACTAGTGATTTATATATAATATTCATTATTTATAATGGTATTCATCTCTATACTCATTCAGCAGAAACCCATGTCCTGTATTTATGGAACCATTATTTATCCTGCACTTGCTGCTATTGCAGTTCTGGTTAGACCTAAACTGCATTTCGTTGCCTTGTACATGTACCTGTGAAATGACAATAAAGTTTAATCTAATCTAATATTTATAAGACAGTAATAAGCTTTTTTTATTACCTCCAAAGCAAAGCCACCTCTCCCCATCTGACTAAACAGAGTCCAGAAACAGCTTTTCACGTCGTAGAGGTTAGCTAAAAATACAGAGTTTTCTGCCTTGCAGATTAGCTGCTAAAGGAGCCATTTGTCTGAACTTTGAGCCTCTGCCTCCATCACCCCTCCCTGATCAGAGGAAGTGGCCGTTTGTTTGCAGTGCAGGCACAGTGCAGTTAAGGTAGATGCTTTCTGGAGGAGGCGATCTACCGGAGATGGTCTAGTTTTTTACAGATGAGGGAGAGGCTGCTGCTTAAACAGCAGAACTGATGAGGACCAACCACAGATTTAGGAATCAAGCAAAGTAGCATTTTGAGCCTGATTTAGATTAAGCAAAAGCATTAGAAGAGTTAGACACTTACAAGCTTGAATTTACAAGATTTCTGCACTTTAATCCAAACTCTGTCTACATGTTTAATGTCATCAACGAACAGCACCAAATTCTTCTAGGCAAAATTTTTCTCAAGCACATTCCAGCGGTAAGACAATTCAGAAGGCTGAGCATGCGAAACAACGAATAGTGATAGAGGTAACATAATTTAAGCAACATATTCTCATTATCAGTTCGTATGAAATTGTACGAAAAGTTATGCACACTATTTCGTACGTTTTGGACGTTTTTCCTCAAAAAAACTGATCAGTGCGCATGCGCAGGCAGACAGACAAAAAAAGCTGATCCGCGGAGGGACGTAAAAATGGGAAAAACAGTGCTATAATTACTTTTTCATGTGCATAACTTTTCGTACGATTTCATACGAACTCATAATGAGAATACACTGAATTTAAGAGAATAGGCAGTTTTATATATATCCATCCATCCATCCATCCATTTTCTTTACACGCTTGTCCCAAGTGGGGTCGCGAGGGGTACTGGTGCCTATCTCCAGCAGTCAATGGGCGAGAGGTGGGGGTTTTATATATATATATATATATATATATATATATATATATAAAAAAGATGAATTGATTATTTTTTGGAAGCGTAACTGGTAATGTTTAGATGGCTGAGTTAAAGGCCGCAAGTCTGGGTTTGAAGCATTGTTGGCTTTCTTTAATATTTGTTCTGGGAGTTTTTTTCCAAATCAATGGAGCAGAAGAGCTAAAAGCTGCTTTTTGGTTCTGATTCTGTAGAGCAGATCACAGCCATGTTTGCTGCGTCCTTAAACCAGGGGTCTGCAACCAGCAGCCCTTCAAGTGTCTCTATAGAAACACTAGAAATCCATCTGAGATGTTTCTGTTTTTGTAGTCATGGAGACGTTGGATAATTAGCACCATTTTCTCAGACTCTGTGGTTGTGCTATTTCCTTCCTTCATACTGAGTTTCCTCTCATTCTTCTCGATGTCTGCTGCAGACCTCACAACCCCAAGGAGTGTCGGCGTCAGGTGGAGCCGCCAGAGCTGTTAATGACAGCTTGTTCCAGAAACTGCAAGAACGGACATTGTACTCCAACTGGCAGGTGCTGCTGCAGCCCTGGGTGGGAGGGGCCCTTCTGCCGGATAGGTGAGTACCACTGCGAGAGGAAGTCCTGCTCTGCTCTGTTCATGAACAGCTCTAAACATTTTCTCTGCTCCTCTTTAGCTAAATGTGAACCAGCCTGTCGCAACGGGGGGGTCTGTATAGAGCCAAACCAGTGCCTGTGTAAAAGCGGCTACTCCGGCGCTCAGTGTGAGAAGAGTGAGCGGGGGATGCCCAACGACCAGGAGAAAGACGGCATACTGGACCACATCATCGACGTGACCTCATACCTCTTGGACCTTACCAGCTACATCGTATAGGGGTGAGCAGAGGGGGGCCGCTCCCCGCCGCCACCCGCACCTTGACACAGATCTACCTTTCACTGCCAGCAGACTCACACCAAGATGTCACCAAGGTGGCTTTTTCAAACACAATCCCAGATCCACCCAGCAGACTGTGGGGTCCACTCCCAGCTTCCAGAACTCTCCCATGTCTCACTATAAGCTATACGCTCTGAGCACCGGGCCTGGCATCCAAGCCCCTTAACCTTGAAATGGGCCTGCAGGCTTTTCTTCACCCGCCTCCACAGCTTCAAGGACTGAACCAAAACAAGACTCTGGGTCTGTTTTCAAGCCGTTTCAGGACTCTGGTAGGGATTAAAAATCGGCTCAAGAACCAGATGCTTCTTCAGAAGAGGAAGGAAAAAAAATCATCCACAAACAGACACTGAAGGAACAGGAGTCGTTGGCCGCATCGACCCTGCCGCGCGTCTGATTGAAGATCGTCGATCATCCATGATGTTCTATTTAGTTAGTGGACACATCGTCATGACAACTAAAGCAGAACAGCCAAACACACAAAGAAGCGAACCAAGGGGAAGGTTGAGGATGGAGAACGGCTCTCTGGCTTCACTGCCTGACCTTCATGTTTCTACATGAATTTAAAGCTGTACCGAAGTCAGAGGCTGACTTCACTGAATCACAGGCTGACTTCACTGTCACACACTGAAACTGAAACCCAAAACCTAAACTACAAAGGGAAGAAGCGAAGCAGCAATGTATATTTCCAGTAGAGCGTACTACTTAGCATTACTATCACTCTCATAGAGGAGGGTTTATTTTTTATGAGGGAGAAAGAATACAGTGTCCTAGAAGGCAGTTCTACTCCAAACTCGTCAGGTCATGTTCTACACATATATTGCAGCTTTCAAAGAGACACGTATGGATTTTCTTTTGTTTTATTTGGGGGGAGCGGGGGTCAGTGTAACCGTAATGCATGTCTGTGCCTGCATAAAGAAGCTCACAACAGTTGGGGGGGACCATGTATTTCCACCGATATATGATTATATCACCACTGTCAAAAATCCGTCGGTGTTGTGAGACGATCAGAGATGGCGTGGGGTTTCCGAGCCACACGCTCAGGGGCAGATCTTATCCATAAAGAGCAGATTTCAGATTAAGCTGAGGGAAAATAATCCCCATGATTGAAACCTCTAACGAGCTGCATGTGAGTCAAACACGGCTGGGAATGTCGGGAGAGATGTTGGCCATATGCATTCACTCATTGTTTTATTTCAGAAGTCATAAAGAAGACTCCGCTTCTGTTCCACATGTTTGGATGCTGAAAGTTTTCTTCGTGTTTTTTAAAAAGCAACCCAATAAATTCCTCCTGGTCGTCCATCTCCTGCGTTGCTCAGCTCCACTTTGGGTTTAATATATCAGGACTGAATATTCATGCTGTAAAATGATTAAAAAAAAGAAATTATAACTCTTTTAGCACTTAATGTGAAAGTTGCATTGTAGCTGCTGAGATGGCGGGGTGTGAATAGAATAACCGTTTTCATTATTTAAGTAGTTACACAAATAAAATAATTATTTAAGTTCTCTATTTTGTTTTTACTATTGTACTGTATGTGACATTTTTATGCCTGTATTGTAAATAAAACTAGGGATAACTCTGTTTCTCCTCAGAAATATCAATATGTCTATTAAAATTTATAGCATGTCTTCAGGACTGGCTTCCTTTGTTCTGGCTCAGACTTTTTCACAATAAAAAAAAGTACTTTGTCTCAAAAGCAAAGGAAAATGGATTTAAATTGAGGATAAAATTAAAATATAGTTTTTTAATGTGGTAATTGATGGGAACAAATCATGTTTCCTGTAATTTAGTAGGGGAAGCAGGCAAAAAGAAAACACAACTTTTTCTTTTCTCTTCCTTTTGCCACCGCTAAGCTTCCTTTTTTACCATTTTTACTTTTTAACAAAACTGAAAAATTATTAACAATAAAAAAAATTAAAAAAATAAAGAATAAAAGAAAAAAATACATAAAAACAGTGTAAAATTAAAATAGAACAAACATAAGCTGTGGGACTCAGTTTTTCATCTATAAAACTCAGTTTCAACTGTTGTTTTATAGTTTATTTCCATTTATTTAGCTTTTTTCCAAATGTTTCTTCTTCCATCTCAAGCTAGTGATTCTTTCCATCTTTAGGATATTTCCTATGATACACAGCCACTTTAAGGTCTTAGTTATGGTTTTCTGCGCTGCCATCAGGAAGATTTCTGATAAAATATAAGGCGAGAACGAGGAGCAGGATTCATCAATGAAGATTATCCAAGAGAGCTTGTATTTTCTCACAACTCCAAAAAATCTGTTTTTTTTTTTTTTTATTCGTGTAGCTTAACAGGTTCATTGGGATTTAGTTTGCTTACTTTTAATTTTTTAATAGCTCTGATATAAAAAGTTGTTATAATTAGCATCTTTTTTTTCTGCAAAATTAATCGTCCCCTTTACTTTCGGTTCAACAAACTCCAGAAATCAGTGAAGATCTCTGAATGACCTAATGTTGACCTAAATGACTAATGATGAATCAAGTCTCCCTATGAATGCACCTGTTCTGTGATCGTCTCAGAGGTCTGTTCAAAGCGCAAATAGGATCATAAAGAACAAGAAACACACCTGGCAGGTCTGAGATACTCTTGTGGAGAAGTTTAAAGCTAGATTTGGATAAAAAAAAAGATTTCCCAAGCTTTAAACATCCCAACAATCAGTTGTATACTGCACAAATATGGCCCTTATGGAAGAAAGACATTTCCTAAAGAACAATAATATGAAACCTAAAGCAAAATCTACATTGGAATAGTTCACAAATAAACATATCTAGCCATAGAATAGAATTAGTATTCTATTTTATGATATTATGTGCTGGGCACAGAACTGTTTTGTTAATTCTTCTTTCTAGATGGTTTAATATTGACTTTAGTTTAATGAATTTTTGTTTGGATACTTTTTTTGGTAAATATTTTCTTCTGGTCAATTAGTGGCTGTTGGACCGCCTATAAATAGGCTGGGTTCTTATCTGGGAGCGTCTCCACCTTTATGCTCGCTCATTCATTTCCACCATGGAGGAGGCGCACCTGTCTCCAGCTGCTGTAGGCCGCAGCCGTTACCTCTGACCTGCCATGCGATATTTTTGTCAGCCTTTGTTTGGATGCTGTTTTCGTTGTGATTTTGGCCTGGTGGGACCGGTTGTCCTGTTTTTTATTTTTTATATTTCTTTAGTAGTTTATTTTAGCTATAGTCCGGTACTAGTAGGGGCTTTGACGGCCCTGTATAGCAGCGGCCCCCAACCACCGGGCCGCGGACCGGTACCGGTCCATCGGTCATTTGGTACCAGGCCGCACAGAAAAAGTATGTATTTATATATATATATATACAGTGTTGTGCCTGAACGCGTCCATTGAACGAAAGTTCATGAACTCGTTCATATTTTGGGCGAACGTGAACTGAACGTACTGTATTACTGCCAGATGAACGTTATTGTGAACTCGTTCATTCTGGTGTCTGTGAACGGCACGCTCTCTCAGTTCAACTTCGATCAATAGGTTGCCAGGTTTCTATAGAGCCCTCCAGGCGAAACCCAGGCTAAATCACACCGTAAACAGGCCTTAATATGTAGCGGGAAAAACACCCAATCTGGCAACACCAGCTACCAGTGTCGTAGCCTACAGCCGCGTGCGTCATCAAAAATCTGCAAATCTGAAAAGGCATATGTACTGAAATGGAATTTCAAATGGAAAAAATTATTAAAATTAAAAAAACATTTGCACCTTAAAGACTACTTTCCTGATTTTCTTTTAATAATTCCTCATAAAAAAGACCATTCAAGCAGCACATTTTTCCTGATGTTTTGAGAATATACTGTAGGGGTGAAAGCTGCAACTGCTACTCGTGTGAAGTGAATAGACAGCAACAAAGCGTTAAAGCAACAATGGGGAAATGCTGTCCCCTCAATGCTAATGTAAACCCTGGTTGGATAAGGATTCAAAACTGGATATGAAGATGAAATCTGACGCACAGTTTCAGAGTTACAGCTGATAAAATAATTGCTGTCTGTGGTTCTACAGTAGGCTATGGTGTAATTGAGCAATATATATAAAAAAAAGAACTATGAACTAGTTCATTTTTTGGAACTGTGAACTTAGATCAAAATTTTGAATTATGAACTATGAACTGAACTAGTTCATTTTAAAATGTGTGAACTGAACTTTGAACTAGTTCACGTAGAAAGAGAAGTTTCCCAACACTGTATATATATATATATATATATATATATATATATATATATATATATATATATATATATATATATATATATATATATATATATATATATATATATAATGTATCGACGATCAGAGTCTAAGTGATGTTTTATTTTGAAAAATATAAAAAATTGCGGTATTCTCTCCCAATTACATCAGTCGCTGCATCTGTGCCTCTTGACACAGGTTAATTCAGTTCAAGACTCATCCTATCTATAACATCCTATCTTTGTGAAGCGGGATTTTCTGCAGTTACAGCGACCAAAACAAAGCTACGGAGCAGACTGGACATCAGGAGCACACTTCAGGTGTCATTGTCTCCGATTACGCCTAGATGGGACCGGCTTGTTGTTTTATTTTTATGCTGTTTGTATTTGATTTTATGCCAGTTGTATCATTTTACTTGAGCATGTCTGATATCTGACATATAGCGGTCCGTGGTGCAAAAAAGGTTGGGGACCGCTGTTGTATAGGGTTGGCTCTCTGCTGTACTGTTTTGTTATTTTTGATCGGCTCACCAGGTCCAACTTTCTGTTAATACTTTGGGTATGTTTTGCCCTTTTGGACGTAACAATGACTAGAATCGAATGGCCTGGTCAAAGTCCAGACCTTAATCCAGTTAAGAAACTGTGGTAAGAACTGAAAACTGCTGCTCACATACGCTCTCCATACAACCTCACTGAGCTCCAGGCTGTTTTGCAGGATGAATGGGCAAAAAATGTCAGTCTGTAGATGTGCAAAACTGATAGAGACAAACCGAAAGCAACTTGCAGCTGTAATCACAGCAAAAGGTGGTGCTGCAAAGTTTTAACTTAACGGGCTGAATAACGTTGTAAACCTAATTCTCCAATTTTTTTGTCTGTTAAAAAAGTTTGAAATATTTAACACATTTCATTCCACTTCATGATTGGGTCCCACTTGTTGTTGATTCTTCACAAAAAATTACAATTTCATACAAAAAAGTTCCAGGTAGCTGAATATGGAGTCATTTTTCTGCCAAAACTTTGTGTACAAAAATGCATGTTGCACACACACACACTGCCATATAACGAGATGCTGGACAATTATGTTTTTTTTTTTTTTTTTGGTTTGGTTTTTTTTTTACAAAAAACTAATAGTTTGACTAAAATTAAGCAGATGGAATATCTTTTTTCTTCTAAGGTTCAGCAGATAAAACTGCTGCCATCACCTACAGAGCAACATTTGTACTCCAACTGTAGGTTTTAAGCATCTAACAGAGCAGGAAAGAAGTTAAATCAACTTCATCCAAGGATTGGTGGAGAGCAGGATGCAGAGCAAACAGATGGGGCTCATACACATGAATGGTTTCCCCTTAAATTCACGCCTGACACGGAAAAACCTGCAGGAGCGGCTGGATTGATAAACGTCGGCTTGAGGGTATCGTTTAGAGTTCAAGGTGGAAATTCTTCTGTTGCTGTGGAAATTCTCTGCTCTGCTTCAGACATACACAAACACAGCCGTGCCTGGAAGCACACACGCAAGAGCGACTGCTGATGGCAATATTAATTTCCTTTTCAAAATACCAATGAGGCTTTTGTGTTGTATAATGATAAGTGAGCAGAGACCACCCACCTGAAAGCGGACTGACTCGCACATTCACACACGCCCCAGAAGTGCTCACGCTGCCATATTTAGAGAAACGCGATCCTGAGTTGTCTATGCAACATTCACATCCAATCAAAATTGCATAAAGTGGAACTGTCCAATAGAGCTGCATAGTCCAGCATATATTTGAGTTTATGCTGTGGCATAAATCATTGCTTTTCATTTGGAATCGTTTCCTTTTTCCCTCCCAAAGGCCCGTGTCTGGCTATCTTTCTGTAACAGTGTAACTCAGTACTCTGAATAAACATGAGAAGTCTGTATAGCAAATATTTGTAAAACTGAGAAGGCTGGAAGTGTATGCTATAATATTGTATA